GATGTGTATAAGAGACAGATTTAGAACCATGGTGGTACCACCCCCAATGTCTGCTTACTCACTCAAGCTACCAGCTTCCGTCAATCAAGTTGTGTTTGCTCCGCCTCCTCTCTGTAACACGGTAGCGTTTGTTCTTTCTGATGGCAGAGTTGCATTCTACTCTACCGGTAAGTAATACAGCCTTTGATTATAATTCACTTGGTTTAATTATATTGTTTGTTACATGAATAATAATATATTCACCACTGTTGTTGTCTATTTTATCTTAAGGTTATCAATTTTTCCATAGATGTTGAACCCTCAGATGATTCTATTGTAAAGATTGATGCTGCATGGGGGACTGGTTTCCAGACCATGACAAGACCACATAGCTTAAGAAATATTTTGAGGTGCGTGAAGATGACACAGTTGAACTATATTACGGATGAACATGTATTATAATACAGGATGGATGTAAAAGTGGTGGTGGCTTATGATGGAAATAGTGGAGGGTGACAGTGGTATTCCTTGGTGAATAATGGTCAGGTCTGGAGGAAACATTTTTGTACCTAAACCCTGATAAATATCTTTATAAAATGCCTCTAGCATTAAATGTTATCTGAATACTACAGCAAACCGGCCCAACGGTTGTTTAACAAAAAAGTGAATTGTGATTCTTCCGACTGCCAATCATGTACTTTTTACAGTGGTGGTGGTGATGGTGCATGGTGGTTGGCGAGGGTAAATGACAGTAGCTGGCCGTGAGGGACAATGATGATAATAATGATAATAAATGGTGATAATAGTAATGATAACTGATAGTGGTGGTTTTAATGATGAGGATGTTGGTTATGATGTTGGTGGTGATTGTGTTGTGGTGTTAATTTTTTTTATGTAGCTTGGGCAGGTGCCCATATCATTTGATGATGAGGATATTAATTCTCATTTTGATGGCGTCAGTCAGCATTATATATATTAATTAATATAACAGACTTTAATATTTGTATTTCTTTGTATTTAGTATTCAAAATAAGGATGGCAAATCAATAGTGTGGGATTACCCAATGAGTTACAGCCACTTTCATTGGTTAAGCCAAGACACAATGCTTGCTGTATCTAGTTCCCATGACAACAATGAAATGACCTCTGTCATTCATCTCAACATCGGTGGACTTGACACAGAAAAACCATTCCTCAAAATTAAGTAAGCAGTGTCTTTATATCTTTATTATAACTATCGAAATTACTATCTTTATCAAAATCACCAACATTGTCAAAATCACATTCATAATCATTAACATCATTATGATTACCACACCATCATCACCACCACCATCCTGTCCAACCAGTAAACTTTCTCTCTTGTATTTGTTCTGTAACTTCTTTCTAAATAAATATCTTCCTCAATCCTTTGTCCTTTTTGTCACCTATGAGCTATTCAATTTGTGCAAGTAGCCAATATTGCCAATATGGTTTTTACATTTTTTTAAATTAAGTAAATAAAATATTATTAAATATGACTAAAATTGGTAAATTCTTGTATTAAAAAGTACTGTTAATAATAATTAATAATAACAAAAAATGAATATAAACAGAAATTACTCATAAACTTGACAGATGCGAATTTGTGTACAAAATGTTTATTACCTCATAATTTTTATTACAATTGTTCGTTATTATATGCCCACTCAATTCTACAACAAATTAGTCATCATTTCAAATGTCTATTCTTTTTTTTACAACAGATGTGAGTCAACCATATTTGGAAATGTGTATCACATGACCAGCAATCATTGCACAGGGACCACAGCTGTGCAATTGACAGATGGTCAGGTGACTAATCTAGAGAATGACTTCATCACAAAACTGCCCCAGCCTTGTACGCAGATGGAGCTCTGCAAAATTGATGGACAAGTAAGCACATAATGACAAATGTGGAATTTTTTGGTCATAATTTAATATTGAATTACACAATGCACTTGAAAAATGGTACCACAAGCAGAACTCTACATGTGGTACACCTTGACCAATAAATCTATTGCTCTTTCTGTTCAATAACCAACAGGTCTAAATTAACTAAGTAAGTAATGAAATTATTGATTTTCAGGCAGGTTATTTTCATATGTATTTTTCTTGTTATATAATTGAGGTTGTCCTGATAAAGTTTTGCAAACCTTCATTTATAATGCTTTGAGTGTTGAAAAAGAGATTACCCTTTTAATATGCTGTTATGTGGCATTTTGATCATTTGAAAATCGTCGTCATATTTAGAAAGTCATCTCATCTTCTCGTCATCTTTATGCTTTATTTTTTTAATTGTTTTTACTATTCTTTTTTTATTATGATGGTGAAAATGATTTTACCGTACTCGTGCGAATAAGCGCCCGGGCGCTTAAAATATTTTTTGCACTTTTTGAGGGGCGCTTATTCGAACGGGGCGCTTATGCGAACGGGGCGCTTATCAAAACAGAGTGGAAATTGAGGGGGCGCTTATGGAAATAATTGAAAATCGAGGGGTTATTATGAGAACTTATTAAATCCAAGAAGCACATTTTGAATGAAAAATGATTATATAAGGACATTAGGAAACCGCAAATTACGAATGGTTGTGCGGCGGAAAAGAAGATAATCATCCAGAGAGCATGGCTTTTTATGACAAGAATGTTGGGAGTACATTATTACATAACAGCAGAATAGCAGATTAAATTAGTGGTGGTGGTTAGAGCTTGTTGGCCATCGGCCGATTGAGATTAGCAGGATTGCATGATCAATGCAGGTTTTCTTGAAAACTCAGATGAGAATGTGTGGTGCAAAATGTCGGAAAAGCACTTTATTTTTTAAATTGTTTTTACTATTTTTTTTATTATGATGGTGAAAATGATTTTATTTGTTGTTTTAGTGTTTGTACTATTTGCATTTTAGATTTATATATTTAAATTTGTGTATTTTAATCATAAGGGGCGAGCAATTGCAGAGGTTGTTGTTACCTGTTGGCTTACTTCCATCATTACTGTATATATTTTGTAAGTGTGAAGTTTATTTAAAAAAAATATTGCATTACTATGATGGCAACCTAATGTTCTTTTGTAGGAAGTGGTACTTGGGCTTACAGAGCGCTATCGCTTTTACATAAATGAACAAGACGTCGCAAACAACTGCACTTCCTTCGCTGTTCATGATGAATTCTTATTGCTTACAACTCACAGTCATACTTGTCGATGCATCAGTCTCAACAATTCCATAAAAGGTTGATTTTTTTTTTAGAAGTGAATTTGTGTAATTATGCTGCATCTACATCCTGAAACTCACTACTTCATAACAAATTCAGCAACGTTTACTTCAGTGAAATACCAACATGGACAATATCTATAAAGTTAATCAGAACATTTTTTTTAATCATTGAGCATCTACATTTATTTTTATAGCCTACATTATATGAATATGTATCTTCTCTGCTTATGTGCTAATGCTTTGTTCATTATGTGTAGTTTTCAACCTTTACTGTACATTAAAGTTATTATTTCTTTATAATTCACTTCAAGATCTAGCTTCCTCTACAAGCACAAGTCATTTAGATGAAAATATCCGTCGGGTTGAGCGAGGCTCTAGGATAGTTGTAGCTGTGCCAGGAGAAACAAAGCTCATTCTTCAGATGCCGCGTGGTAATCTAGAGACGATACACCCAAGGGCACTCATACTCTCATCAATTAAAAAGTATCTGGATACGTTAGATTACAAGAAAGCATTTGAAGTTGTTCGCAAACACCGGATCAACTTGAATATTCTTTATGATCATAATCCACAGGTATTTTGTTTATTTACACTTGATACAAAGAGTACCCAGGAGTTGAATTGTGTCGGGTTTCACAGGGGACGGGAAGCCTTGCATTCCCATCTCAGTGTACCTTGTCCTGATTTCTTCCAGAAAAGTGTGCTAGGGACTATACGCCGGAAGCTGATGAGAGTGGTTTAGGCAAGGGTTACTACGGGGGAGGAAACAGCAACCGAAACCATGTGTAGTAGTTTCAGTTCTAGTCACAAAATACCAGAATTTCTTTCAACCTATAACAAAAAATCCACCTTCCAGGAATTTTGGGCACCACTTCTTGAATATAGCTGTTAACTCATGCTAATTATAGAAAAATATATTGTTTTGCATGCTCATTCAAGGGAATTCTCTTTTTCCAAGTTGATATTAAAAGTAATTCCTTTAAACATGTTTTATTATTTTTAGATGTTCTATGAAAACACAGATGTGTTTGTAAGACAGCTTGGAAATGTAACCCACCTGAATCTGTTCCTTGCCGAATTGAACATGGAAGATGTTACAGATACTATGTATTCCTGGGCTTACCGGTCAAAGGACAAGAAGATCCAACATACAGATAACAAAATCGATAGCATCTGTGATGCAGTTCGGGAAAGTTGTTCAAGGATTGATCGAGAAAAGTAAGTTTGTTTGGTCTGTTTGTAATCCAAAATCTATAATCTAGGTATCAGTCACGATACAAAAATTTAATTATATATTTTAGGTACTTACTATCTGTATTGACATCACATGTAAAGAAGACAACTCCAGAATTAGAGACCGCTCTCAAGTGTGTCCTTGACTTGAGGAATAATCCGTCTTCAAACTCCGAACAATCAACTCCAGACCAAGCCCTCAAGTATATTCTGTATATTGTGGATGTTAACAAACTCTTTGACGTAGCTCTTGGAACTTACGACTTTGAACTTGTTCTCATGGTGGCTGCAAAATCACAGAAGGTATGGATGGATGAATGGATTTATTCGGTGTAAACACCAAGGATAACCCACGAAAGTCTTATTTCCATTGGGGTCCTTCTGGTGGTGACTGGGCAGTACACCGGGAGACCGTCCCTTACTCTTTTCCGAATTGTGTATTGTGTTCTTTAATGTGCACACGGCCAAAATGCACACAGGACCAACAGCTTAAACGTCTCATCCAAAACACGGTGCACTATCATTACTTGCATGTCAGTCCTCCAGCTGAAACACTCAGAGAGCAGTGATGGGAATTGAACCGGGGCCTAGATATTGCCACGGTTCAGTGCACACACATTGGCTACCACTAGTTTTGCCAGTTTATACACGGCTTTGCAGAATAACAACTGATGAGCCAAGTTTCCATTTTTTAAATAAAGATTATTATTATTATTATTATTATTAGTCAACTGAGCAAGCTGCTCTAACATTTGTGTGGGTGTGTGCGTGCAAAGGTATTTGAGTGTCTATAAGGGTATCTTATGTGGGTTAATGTCTGCTTGTGTTTCAAAAATTACCTTCTCTCCTCCCTCAAAAAAGAATTCCAACAATATGTTTCCTATCTTTGTCTTCCCCGCTCCTATTCCTGAGCTCTTGAACATTATAATTCTGTTTTGTCGGCATTTTCATTATACATTGCTAAGTCAGAATGTTATTGAATTTTTTTTTTTTTTTTTTTTGCATTGGACTT